GTTTTTGCATCCTTCCGTCTTGGATTAATCTTTAACATCCTATGTTCTGAACATTAGTTCAGTGTTTCTCTCATTTTATTCGACTATTATTAACCGTCAAAGTGGGTGCTTTTGCTTTCAAGATATTCCTTCGCAAACATACCAAATGAATATTTTTTCTTTTAATGGATTGGTTCAGTTCAGTCCTGTATGAAGAACTCAATTTCAGTTTCAGAACACTTTTTTAAATGCTTTGCAGTCATCTAATATTCGTTTAAAGTCAGAGACTTTCACTACGGTTGGTTTGAAAGTCGTTGTAGTAGAATGTGGTGGAGGTAGTTTTTATCTTTGTGTGAAAATTAAGATAAACGTTTACGATGGAATGGAGATATTTCAGTTGAATGAACCGTTGGACGCAGAGGATGAGCGTAATTTCTTGTTCATAAAAACAATGAAAAGTGATGAATCACCAGTGTTCTATCGAGATCATGTCGTTGACAAGTTGATTCGAGTTTGTATGAAAGATGGCCGAAAAGGTTCGTTTCTTTCTCTGAAAGATTCACTCTCCCTCATTTTACTCATTGTAAATGCCTTGTTAGTCAGTGAAAGGAGACTTGAGCTGGTCTGATCTCGTTGAACCAACTTACGATTAGCGAATTGTAAAAATTTGTTTTCAGAATTGTCCCGATCGAACGTTTATGCAGCATTGGAGATTATCAAACGAAGGCAATATAAAGCGTGGCTTAACGCAAAGGATGATGAAGAAAAATCGAAAATTGAATTGGATCCGTTCGTGATTGCACGTAAAGCCATTCGAAATTGTCATCCACTAATGAAGTTACGCGGGGTAACCAGGGGTGAGCCATCATTTCTGATTATACCAAACTTCACTCTTACTTTTGATCGTTTCGCTTGTTTTTTTCCAACTGTCATTTTGTATCTCAATTCAAATTGATTATGAAATGCTTCCGATTAGAAGAATTTTTATTCGACTTTTTCATTTTTTAACGGTTCGATTCAAAAATGCCTCCTTGAGCGTTTTGCTGAGTTCTATAGAACGTTTATTCAGTAATCTGTAAAGCAGTTTTCAAAGTTCTGTTTGAAGTGATATTTCTAGATTCAACACTGAAGCCATGAGGTGCACAGCTTATAAGCAACTACTTCGATGAGGGCTTTCTTTGCAAA